TGATTGTTTTTATTTGGGCTTTTTTTTCTCTTTTTCTTGGTCATTCTGGCTAGAGGTCCATCAATCTTGTTAATTCTTTTAAGGAACCAGCTTTTTGTGGTGTTGATATTTTCTATGATATTTTTGTCTTCTATGTTCCGTATTTGGGTGCGTGTTTTGGTGATCTGGATTCTTCTGCTAAAATTGAGGTTTTGGTGGTCTTTACTTTCCAACTCCTTAGGTGATTTGTTAGGCTCTCAACTTCTGATCTTTCCATTTTCTTGATGTGTGCTCATAGAGATATAAATTCCCCTCTTAGAACTGTTTTCATGGAATCCCAGAGGTTTTGGTAAGATACTTCTTCATTTTCATTTGTTTCCAGGAATCTTTTAATTTTTGCTTTAATTTCAGTGTTGACCCAGCATCATGCTGCTTAGTGTCCATGTCTTTGTGGGTTTGGGGGAAATTTTGTTGGTGTTGATATTTATTTTTATTCTACTGTAGTCTGAGAATGTGCATGGCAAGATTTCAACCTTACGGAATTTGTATATGCTTGATTTATGGCCAAGGATGTGATTGATCTTGGAGTACATTCTATGTGGTGATGAGTAGAATGCATATTCTGCGGCTGTTGGGTGGAACAATCTGTAGGTATTTATTAATTCCATTTGGTCGAGTGTCAAGTTTAGGTTCTGGATCTCCTTGTTAATTTTTTGCCTCATTGATCTATCTAGGGCTATTAGTGGGGTATTCAAGTTCCCTGCTATAATAGTGTTAGAGTCAATATATATATATATATTTTTAGTATACTTAGTAGTTGCTTTATAAATGCTGATGTTCCTGTGTTGGGTGTATATATGTTTAGGATGGATATTTCTTGATGATGGATTGAACCTTTTATCATTATGTAGTGTCCTTTTGCACCTTTTAAAATTTTTGATAGCTTAAAGGTTGTTTTTTCTGATATTAAGATTGCAACTCCTGCCTTTTTTTGTGATCCATTTGCCTAGAAACTCGTTTTCCATCCTTTAACTTTGACTCTATTTGCATTCCTTGTAGTGAGATGAGTCTCCTGGCTGCAGCAAATAATTGGGTCATGGTTTCTTATCCAGTTTGCCATTCTGTGTCTTTTCAGTGGTGCATTGAGTTCATTCACATTCAGGTTGATTATTGAAATGTGATTGATTTTCCCTGTTATGAGGTTCTTATAAAGTTTATGTGTTTGCTTGTTTTCTTTTGACTTTGGGGTTGTCATATGTGTGTGTTTTCAAGTTTCTAGTTGCACTGTATTCTCTGTTGATTCTGTGCTCTGCTGTTTTCTTGGGAAGTGTGTGGTCTTTTTGTTTTTCTTTCTTGTGTACTTAATATCTTTTTAAGTGTCTCCTCTAGAGCTAATCTGGAAACTGCATAATCTCTTAGGGATTGGATGTCTGCAAAGGATTTTAATTCTCCATCACTGAAGAAGTTGAGCTTGACTGGATAGGAAATTCTTGGTTGAAATTGTTCATCTTTGAGGATTTTGAATACAGGGCTCCAGTCCCTTCTTGCTTGTTGCGTTTCTGCCAATAGGTCTGCTGCTATTGTGATTGTTTTTCCCCAGTAGATAGTCTGACTTTTCTCTCTTGCTGCCTTTAGGATATTTTCTTTTGTGCCTACTTTGTGTATGTGAATTATTATGTGTCTAGGGGTTGGTCTTCTCTTTTGATGTCTTGTTGGGGGTTCTCTGTAACATTTGTGCTTGGCTTGTCACCTCTCTGGTGAGATGGAGAAAGTTTTCTTGGATTACCTCCTGGAATACTTGCTCCAAGTTGGTCTCCATTTCTCTTTCTTCTTCTGGGATACCAATCAGGCCTATAGGTTCAATCTCTTGATATAATCACACATCTCTTATAGGCTTTGTTCTTTCTTTCTGAGTCTTCTTTCTATGTTTTTACAAATCGGGTTAATTTCATGTTCTGGTCTTCAAGTTCTGAGATTCTTTCTTCAGCTGGATTAATTCTGCTTTCCATGCTTGTCATCTTGTTTTTTATTTTCTGGATGAAATTTTTTATTGCCAAAATCTCTGTTACAAGTTCTTTCAGTGTTATATCTTGTCTTTCTTGAGTCTTATTTGCTCTTTCCATCCATTCTCTAATCCCTGTCATATTCTGAGGTCAGTCTTTGGTGACTTCCATTGTTTGGGCACCAAGGTCTGATTTTTCAGGAGTTTTGTCTTTGGTACACTTGAAATTGCCAGAGGTCTTCCTTTGGTTTTTCCTCATTTGTGACATATCTCTTGTTTTCCTCTTTATTTCTGTTATTCAGTGTCAGTGGGAGAGGCTTTCCCTTCTGATGTTTGCTTAGTCCCCTATTCTTTCCTGATCTGGGTTCTGGATTTGTTCTGTATTCCCAGAACTTTGAGAAACTATGACTGGAAGATTGCTTGCATGCCGGAATTTGAGAACAGCCAATAGAAAGCCCTGGAAGTTATTGTGAAGGTAGTTGACTCCCTTGGTATTTAGGAGAAGGGTTAGCTGGGAAGTCCACACTCTAATTTGCCTTTCACTAGAAGGGTGTGTTCACCTCCCCACCCTCGGCAGATGCCACAGTGTCCAGCATAGCCCTTCCTGCAAGGCGTAGTCTGGGGAGGCAGAGCTCCCCTCATCTGGCTGCCTCTGTTCACTCTGCCAAAAATAAATTCTATGTAGATTAAAGACCTAAATATAAAAATCAAAACACTAACATTTTTAGAAAATACATATAAGAATGTCTTTATTACTTTGAGGTCAAGAAATGTCTTAAAATAACATTTAAAAAACATAAATCATAAAGGGATAGAAATACATCAAAATTTAAAACTTCTATGCACTACAAAATACTCTAAGTAAAGTAAAAAAGATAAGCCACAGCCTGGAAGAAGATATTTGCAAGACATATAACAAAAGATTAATACCCACATATACAAGGAACACCAGTGGATTAATAAGAAAGAAACACAGAACCTCAAAAGAAGGATATTCACAGGAATTTGCCAAAGAGAAAAGCTGAAGGCTCATAAAGCACATGAAAAACTGTTCAGATAATTATTAAAGAATAAAAATTAGCACAATAAGATATATTTGTATACACTTCAGATTTGCAAGAATGTACAGAAAGGAACACTGTCACTTATTGCTGGCACAAGGGTATACTGGTGTACACATTTCAGACAGAATTTTGCAGTGTCAGAATTGAAGATTTGCACACTCTATACCTTTTAATTCCACCTGTAGCTAGCTATCTTCTAAAACTGGTACTCTGACTTATACAAAAGGAAACACACAATGTTTATGGCAATATTGCTGGTAAAAGAAAAAAAGGGAGGGGGAAATTTAAATATCCATCATCAAAATGAATAAATGTAAAATGTGATATTTTCATACAATGGAATACTATAGAGCAATTAAAGACCTAAATATAAAAATCAAAACAATAAATTTAGAGGCAAACAACAGAAACAAAACATTATGACTATAAATATATTGCAGAATGATACATTGTGTGAAGTTCAAGAACACAAAAAAGCAATATGTGGTTTATGAATTTTAAAAGTGTGGGAAATCATAAAAACTCTGAAATAATGATAAACACCAAACTTATGAGAATGATTATGAGGGAGGGCTGTGGATTGGGAGGGCATGCAGGGGTCATCAGCTGTGTCTGTAATGCCTCTTTACAAAATCTAGAGTGAAGATGGCAACATGTTAGCATTTGCTGAAGCTGGGCTATGGAACACATAGGGGTTCTTTGTATTATCGCTACACTGGTGAATATATTTGAAATATCTCATTTTATTAAAGTAAAATGATCACACATGCAGTAAGGAGCAAAACTGGGATTTGAACTTGGGTAGAACAACTGAGCCTTGCTATATTGTATATTGCCTGTCTGAAATTGACTACATATATGTATACATATATATATCACACTTGGACAGGGGAGTCCAACCTTTTGGCTTCTCAGAGCTGCATCGAGTAAAGAGGAATTGTCTTGGGCTGTACATGAATTATATAATATGGTTAGTATATATACATAGACGCATGCGGTCACAAAGAAAATAAATGGTAAAAAACTCACAATGTTAAAAGATTTTATGGAGTCACATTTTGGACATGCCTGGTGTAGTACTTTGAAACAATGCAAAAAGGGTAGCTATCATTACTAGATTAATACTTTTGATCCTTTGTAATTTTATGTTTATTTATATAACATGTAAGTTCTTAGATCTATGTTTTACATATTCTTTTGTAAGAAACAGACAACAGAACAGTGGTAAAGTCTAGTGTTCAGCATAGTCTGCCAGATCCTGACTAATCCATCCATAACTTTAGAATGAATGATAGAAACTGTGAAGGGAGCCGGGCTCGGTGGCTCAGACTGTAATCCCGTGCCTTTGGGAGGCTGAGGTGAGTGGATTGCCTGAGCCCGCGGGTTCGAGACCTGCCTGGGCACCTTAGCAAGACCTCATCTCTACAATAAATTTAAAAAATTTAAAAAATTAGCCGGGCGTGGTAGTGCATGCCTGTAATTCAGGCTACTTGGAAGGCTGAGGCGGCAGGATCGCTGGAGCCCAGCAGGTCGAGGCTGTGGTGGCCAGGAGCGGCCACTGCACTCCAGTCTGGGTGACAGAGTGAGACTCCAACTCAAAAAAAAAAAAAAGAAAGAAAGAAACTGCGAAGGGTTGCTAAGTATTCATTCATCCAGCTGTATTTACTGAGTATATCCCCAAAACTTGGAACTGGATGATAAACAGGATAAAGAAGGTGTTTGCCCCCATGGAGTGTATGTTTTAGACCAGTACTGTCATGGAAATATGATGGAAGGCAAGCATGTAATTACAACTTTTGTAGTAGTAGTAGTAACAGCCAATTTTAAGTATTTAAAAAAACAAGCTATCTATAGTTAGATGACACACAGGATCTATACTGCATTGGGATGTAAACAAAACCTGACATCATATTTCATGAATGGTCGCAACACTCTGAGCAGCACAGTTCACTCACCTTTGGGCCTTGCACTCCGATGCCCACCGGTCCCCGGGGGCCCGTAGGTCCTACTTGGCCTGCTTCTCCCTGTTGAGGAAAGAGTGCTTGAAAACAGCAGCAAAATAAGAATAATACATTCCTGCCTTTGCTCTCCTAAAAGTTGTCTATATCAATAAAGCAAAGCAGTTTCGTGGTCTCAATCTATAGATACCGTGCTTGAAGTCCCTTCAGGTGGATAGATTTTTACCAAATATATATGGGGGGTAGTCCAAAAAAACATATACATATCTTAAGAGATGTTATCTACATATTACTTTTTGAAATAGAATTGAATTATGGTGTCCATGTATAGTATGACATTCCCTCAACCATGCTTCTGTCATTTTCTTTGTCCTGCCTGGCGCACAGTGACACTAGCGTTCATTTGATTAATGCCTTTTTAGCGACTGTCATACTTACATGTGTACATTATTTGGGGGGCACTCCCTGTATTTGGAATATATCCATATATTTTTAAATGTATTTTATTTTAAAGATGGGGGGTACAACTCAGGATTAGGTATACAAGTGGTCATCATACAGGTAAAGTTTGGGCCTCCCTTTGGTCCCCATTTTGCCTAGTTTGAGATCAGGTACCCTTATTAATGTGTGTGTGTGTGTGTGTGTGTGTGTGTGTGTGTCTGTCCTCCCCTCACCCACCCCTGGCAGTTTCTGGTAACTGCCAATTTCTTTCTTATAGATTATGATAAACGCTCAGGGTCTGCTGGAATATATCCATATGTTTATACATGGTTGGATATATGTATATACGGTTGGACATAAAATACAGGTTATGTTGCAAATTCAAAATCGATTTTAAGGAGCCTCAGCAGAGGGCACCTGGAAAAGATAGGCAGTGACATTCCAGAACAACTGGAACCGTCACATGAGGAGCCACAGGTCTTCCAAAAGGTGGCTGCTGACCAAGACAACAGCATAACCTGAGAACACAACCCGAGCAATCAAGGACAGAACCCCAAGCCAAAACTCTCTAAGAGGTCCCGGGCTTCCATGGAGCTGCTTCTAGCAGGGACAACTCTGGGGAGCATGCTCTGGGGTGAGTGACCTCAGAGGAGGATCTGACTTAACAATGGCTAGTGACACCTAGAAGCAGAGTAAGGGTTGCTAGCTAATAATGAATGTCAAGATTCTTCACAAGGGATAAATAATAGCTCCAATGTCGAAAATAATTTGGTTCCTAAATCCATAGAAAGACTATATTTGTTAAGCCATTTCGGACTCCATCTCTTTCACTGGGGTTGAGCCAACTGTGCGAGTGGTGGTGAAGACGAGAGTTAGCTAACCCTGGGGGACGTCACCATCATCGCTGGGAACCTCTCCTGACATTGCAGCTTGAGACACTGGAGGGTCTCACAAGTAAAAGTAACAAAGAAAACAATAAAGGAAGCTTGTGCAAGTAAGTCTCTTAAGGAATAAAAAAATTACATTTTCTAAATTGTTGGGAATATCAGTAACATTTTACATTAAGTAGAGATCTCAGATTTGGGAGTTCATCCTATCTTCTGTCTTTCTTTTTTTTTGAGTTGGAGTCTCACTCGGTCGCCCAGACTGGAGTGCAGTGGCCGCTCCCGGCCACCGCAGCCTCGCCTCCTGGGCTCCAGCGAACCTTCCGCCTCAGCCTTCCGAGTAGCCGGAATTACAGGCATGCGCTACCACGCCCGGCTGATTTTTTGATTTATTGTAGAGATGAGGTCTCGCTGCCCAGGCGGGTCTCGAACCCGCGGGCTCTGGCAATCCACTCACCTCAGCCTCCCAAAGGCACGGGATTACAGGCTGAGCCACCGAGCCCGGCTTTTCGTCTTTCAAATGCAATGACATTCACCAGAACACAGCAGCTAGACTGTAGACATTAAAAGCTGCTCTCGGATAGAGGGTTACCTTAGAACCAGGTGAGCCTTGTCCTGGGGGGCCTTGGGGACCAGGTGGACCAACAGGACCTTGGATTCCCTTTAAAATTAAATTTTAAAAAATCATGTTAGTGAAGTTAAGAAGACATTTGGATAAGGGTAGTTTTAAATCCTCTAAAGAGACAGTTTAGCTCACACCATAATAGGTCACTCATACTAATAAGCATTTGTTGAATGGGGACAGCGGCTGTTGGTTGAACCATCATATGTGTTTGTCCTTCTTCCATGGGGAGAGAAATTGTAGCTGACCCACATGGCCACCTAGAATAAAACCACATCTCTCAGTCCCTATTGCTGACAGTTGTGGCCACGTGGGCTACAATCTGCCCAGTGGGATATGATGGAGGGGTGTGAGCAGTCTCTGGGTCATGCTGAAGGAGGAGGTATGCCTTCCCATCCCTCTGCCAAATGAAGACATGGCGGCCACCCAGGACCATGTGGACCCCGGAAAGCACCCTCGGATGGCAGACTAACAAGAATGGTGAGGGCTGAGCCCCTGATGGTACTGAAGGACAGGGTCACCACACTATCTGGAAGTCTTCCAAAAGAGAAATAAAATTCCATCTTGTGAACCCATTTCACAGTTCTGTCACATGCAGGCAAACCTACACCCTCATTGCACCCATTAACAGGCCTCATGATGTTAAACTGAAGGTGTGACCTAGGAGCTAAGAAGTCATAGTCAGCAGACGCCCAGGCGGAAAATACTCAAACCCTTGGCTCCCTCATTCACACGTGAGTACAAAAAGGGGCATGCACATTGTGAACTATGTTATTTAGAGTTCACTTTATTTTGTAAAAGAGTGGAGGTGATGGAGGCTCCAAACATTTAATGAAAATCTACAGGTCATTTGAGAGACATTGTAAACATGTTGCTGGAAATAGATGAGGGGAAATTTTTTTGAGTTCAGATCTCACTCTGTTACCCAGGCTGGAGTGTAGTGGCACAATTATGGCTCACCGCAGCCTCAACCTCCTGGGCTGAAGCAATCCTCCCACCTCAGCCTCCTGAGTAGCTGGGACTACAGGTGTCACCATGCCTGGTGACTTTTTTTTATTTTTTAGAGACAAGGACTGGCTATGTTGCCCAGGCTGGTCTCCCAAAATGCTGGGATTACAGGCATAAATTACCCTCCCCAGTCTGGAAAAGTCATTTTAATAAAAGAAGTAGGTTGATTCAATATAAGAAGAATTGAACAGATGTTAAAGTAAGGATAAGAGGAGTACTGAATAACGGCATAAATGGAGGTTAAATTTAAGTCGAATTTACGTTATTTGTCTTTAAAGAGCAAATAAATTATTTTATTGTTCAGAGCAGTTTACACATAGTACATTCCATTTACTATCCCGTTCAATAGGGATCAACTCTCTAAGAACATGTCTTGCTCAAAAAAAATTTTTTTCCTATTGAAAAAGTAGAAAAGTCAGGCATGGTGACTCCCACCTGCAACCCCAGCACTTTGGGAGACAGAGGCAAGAGGACTACCTGCCTGAGCCCAGGGGTTCAAGATCAGCTTGGGCAACTTGGCCAGCCCTCATCTCTACAGAAAAATCAAAAATGGTGGGGCATGCCTATAGTTCCAACTTCTTGGGAGACTGAGGAAGAAGGATCACCTGAGCCCATCAGGTCGAGAAGATGGTGGCCATGAGCGTGCCACCGCACTCCAGCCTGGAGGACACAGTGAGACTTGACTCGAAAACAGCAAAACAACAAAAACAACAACAAAATAGAAACATGGGTGAGAAAATGAAAGAAGTCAGATTTTGTTTTTGAAGTAGAACAACCACCACCACCATCAAGGACCAGCATCCCAGGCAACAGGAAACCCAGGTGTGAGCTCCGGAACTCACAGGGCACCTGGATGGAGCTGCCTTGGAACCTCCTGGTTAACCCTGGAGTGATAACTCAGCCCAGGAATGCCACCAGACCAGGGGCCAAGGAACACCACCAGGCACTTCTGGGATCAGAGCACAAGCCCTACTGAAACCAGCAGACAAGCTACAATGCTTAAGAATGCCCAGTGGCAGAGGCAGCTCATGGTCTTCAAGAATTAAAGAATCCAGCTCATAATTATTATTTAAATATTTATTTACAGATTTATCTTGACTGCTTCTGCACCTTAATCCTCCTAATATCTTAGACTCCTGCCAAGGGTAAGGAGATGGAAAAAAGTCATATCCACCTTTGCTGTTGCCTGGGCTAACAACAACAAAAAAATGTAATGATGATAATAAATAAGTGGATGGTTAGAAATAAACGCAAAATTAATCCCAATGATAAGACTTAGTGAAAGGGCATAACATGGAGTCTATATAGCCATGGAGCAGCCATTTTAACATTGCTTAGCTGTGTCATGTTTTTCTAGCAGTTCACTTTAACTTACCCTCTAATCACTGACAAGGACAGAACAAGTTACTCAGAGGTAGCTACTGCTAATTGCTTTACAAGCCCGTCAACATGGCAATAATTGTGACTAACCCACCCATCTTCCTGCTGTCCATCACCTGAGGTCAGTACCTGTGCTTACTTGCCCTCCGATTACCTTAACAACCTGCCTCCATTAAAGGGAATGTTAAAAGACATTCATCTTCAAATAGCAGCCGCCATTGTTCTGCTAAGCTATGGTCCGGCCATGTGTTCTTTGAGCTATGGCCACCACGTTTTTTTAGTTTTGAACCCCTCCCCTACTTTGGGGAGGCGAATCTTCTCTCTCTCTCTCTCCCTCTCCCTCCCTCTCTAATTTACTTTCTAAAATAAACTATATTTTCTAATCTAACTTTTGTACAATTCTTGGCGTCTATCACTGGGCACCAGATCGCACACACCCCCTGTCCATCCTGACTTAACATTTTAGAGGCCCCACCGGGATATATTTTAACCTAACGCTTAGAATTATCTCATTTTTTAAATTCTTCCCTGCTCCCACTACCCTAGTTAAAGAAAGCATTATTCATCTTCTAGGCAATAGAATAACTCAAACCTTAATCACAAATTTTAAGTAAATGGACTTGCCACTTTTTAAGGAGGAAGATATTCAACATAACCCTGGATTTGTTAGTCACTCTGATTAAATGAGACCATGTAGGTAAACACATATGGTAAGCAACAGTAGACAGTACTGTTATACTATCTTCGTATTTTTTAGACTTAACACAATTGCCCAACTTTTCCAAAAGTTATCTGAAGATTTTGGAAATGGTTTCAGCCAGGAATATAGGGACATACTCAGAGATATTGCTTTTCTTCTGACCAAGATGGGCCAGGTGTCATTTATAAACCCTATCTGTGGTGTGCTTCTATTCAAGAAGGGGGCCCCTTAACTTAAGGCATTACTGCTGACTCTGGCCCTAGTTTTAAGTTTAATTCTTGTTTTAGATTGGTATGTGGCTAGAGGGTGGGAAACACTACCCTATTTCATTGGGAGAGGGTGGGACTTAGCCACTTCCAAAGCTTCAAGGAGAAAAAAATATGCATACCAACAGGCAAATGATTGCTTCCAGGGGGAGCTAAAAATATAAAATATTACCCCCAAATTCTGAACATGTTAGTTAGGTTTTAATGTTAAAAGTCACAGCATCAAAAAAGACACAATTTGTTTTTTAAAGTTTTTGGAAGTTCTGAAAAATAAAATCTTCTCATGAAACCATTTTATCTTTCCCTGCAATCTCTTCTGAACTTGGACTCCATGGCAATTTGACTGTCAAGTATATTCACAGATAGCTGTAGGGATGGTCTTGAATAAAGACCAAGATTGAATCAGAATGTTCTATTCCAAAGGGAGAGGAAGAAAGCTGAGTTACCTGTTCCCCTTGACTCCCAATTCCGGGCATGCCCATTGGTCCTTGGGGTCCCACAGGTCCCAAATCCCCCTGTATAGAAAATAAATCAGAAGCATAACAATAAAATAAAATCCTTTTCTTAATTCTTTGCTAATCTAGAATTAGGTTAGACTAAAATCTATCTTTACCACTATAAGAAAGTTCAACATGGAACATTATACAACTCCATCTTATTCCTTTTAAGCAGTTTATAGTTCAAATTTGCCAAAATCATAAAATATATTTTTGCTATTTAGTCTAAGCAATGAGCATTTGCTTCAGTTTATACTTATTAACCATTTTTCTCCCAACTGAAAAATCCTGAATAGTTTATTATCATGACACAAACACATCCTGTAAGGACTGTAACAGAAATATTTAAAAGTATAAAATGCATATAGTATAAGAAAACTGAGATTTAAGAGATACATTGAAGAAAACTATTTTTAACATTTTCTAAATAATTTTTCCCTCCAAATCTTATTAAAAATGCATTTTGTGTTCTCATGCATATGTGAGAGCTAAATGGCCACAAACATGGAAATGGTAGACACTGGGGACAGCAGTAAGGGAGAGGTCAGGAGGGCAGTTAGGGTTCAGAAATTGCCTACTTGGCACAATGTTCACTTTGTGGGGAAGGGGCCTTCTGAGACCCAGTCCCCACCACCACTCAATAGGTCCATGGAACAAACAGGCATATGAATCTCTGAATCAAAAATAAAAATGGCGAGCCGGGCTCGGTGGCTCAGCCTGTAATCCCGCGCCTTTGGGAGGCTGAGGTGAGTGGATTGCCTGAGCCCGTGGGCTCGAGACCCGCCTGGGCAGCGAGACCTCATCTCTACAATAAATCAAAAAATCAGCCGGGCATGGTAGCGCATGCCCGTAATTCCGGCTACTGGGAAGGCTGAGGTGGAAGGATCGCCGGAGCCCAGCAGGTCGAGGCTGCGGTGGCTGGGAGCGGCCACTGCACTCCAGTCTGGGCGACAGAGTGAGACTCCAACTCAAAAAAAAATAAAAAAATTTAAAAAATAAAAAATAAATAAAAATGGCAAAAATAATGCATTTTGAAAATTAAAAAATTATCTAAGATAAATGCAACAACATGAAAGAGCCCCGGATTTTCCTTCCATGAAATTGAGAAAATAAAATGAGAGTTATTAGCAAAAAGAAAAAGATTGTTCATTCACACTGTGTCTTGATACAGATGTTGGCTGATGCCTTTCGGGGCCAGGAAGTGATCCAAGCACTGGGAAAACTGCAGTGGCCAAGACATCTGAACATCTCTGTCCTCAAAAGAGCCCACATTTTAGTAGGGACAACAAGACAATAAGACAGATCCAAAAAATAAATAGCATGTGGGACATGCCAAATGCTAAGGAGGACAATTAATCAGGGATCCTCATGTTGACAAGATGGCCAGGGATGGCCTCACTGATGTGAAGAACTGTGCCAGGTGGAAGCTGGAGGAAAAGCATGCCAGCAGAGCAAACAGCCAGGGTGAGGACAGTGTCCAGCACATTCCAGAAATAGTGAGGAGACAGTGAGGGCAGAACCATGACCATGAGGGATATGGTAGGTGATCGAGTCCAAGAAGTATGGCAACAGGGTCGGGCAGAAGGATCAGCAGGGCCTTCGAAGCCTTTGAGGATTTTGGTTTTTCTCTGAGTGAGATGAGAAGTCACTGGAGGGTTTTGAGAGGAGACAGGAAGGATCTGACTTGGTTTTTAAGGTTTAACCTGGAAAGTGTGCTGAGAACAGACAGAAGGGAGGACTACCTGAGAGATGATGGGGTGCGGACCAGATTGTAAACAGACAGAAGGGAGGTCTGCCTGAGAGAGGATGGGAGATGGGTGTGTGTAGACAGATGTGATCAGGAGTACTCAGAACCTGGATGTGTTTTGAAAGCAGAGCCAACAAGATTTTTTTTGTTTGAGTCTGGGTCTTACTCTGTAGCCCAGGTTGGAGTGCAGTGGCAGGATCCTGACTCACCACAGCCTTGACCTCCTGAACTCAGGCAATCCTCCCACCTCAGCCTCCCAAGTGGCTGGGACGACACCTGCACACCATCATGTTTGGCTAATTTTTTAATTTTTTGTTGAGACAAAGTATTGCTATGTTGACCAAGCTGATCTTGAACTCCACAAGCTTCAAGCAATCCTCCCGCCTCAGCCTCCCAAAGTCCTGGGATTACAGTCACGAGCTACCACAGCTGGCCCGAACTGACAGGATTTGCTGCAACTGAGAAGACTGCAGGATGCCCCTGAGGTTCTTGGAAGAATACAGTTGTTATTTACTGAAGAGGAGATGCCTGAGAAAGAAGCAAGCTTGGGGGATGGGGATGATATCGGGAACTCTGTTTTGAACAAGTTGTATGTGAGATGCCTGAAATGGCCATTCAAATGGAAATATCAAGTAAGGGGGTAAGGGCTGGGACATACATTTGAGAGCCCTGAGCATATGGATGATATTTTAAACAATGATTGAGTCAACTTGCCAAAAATATTTTTTTCTTTCTTTTTTTTTTAAAGGGCTGTCTGAGGATGTGCCCTTTAAGCACTCTAATCCCTAGAGACCAGAGGAGAGCTGAAGAGACTGCAGCAATGAAGACTGAGAAGGAACTGCCAGAGAGACCAAGATAAGAGGGTGTTTCAGGATGGTGAGGGACCTCCTGTCAAATGCTACCACGCGGTCAAGGGAGTTGGTGACCGAAAGCTAACCACTGGATTGAGTGACAGGGGAAGATGCTGATGTTAATGGCAATTGTGTTTAGACTACATCATGGTCATGACACTGTTCTTAAGTAGTTGGCTAGCATATATTTTTGGCTTGAGGGCCATGGCATGGTCTCTTTCATATCTGATCAGTGCTGCTTTGGCAGTGTGACAGTAACCAGTAACACAGGTGTGCCTGCATTCCGGCGACATTCGATTTACAACACAGGCAGCCAGCCCCACAGCTTGCCAAGGTCTACACTAAGTAAATATGTTTTATGAACAAAAAGTATCCTTAGATCCAACTTAATATCATATGAAAGGACATGGAACTGACACTAGGACATACCCTAGAATATTCTTAGATTTCACTTTGGATCAATCCTTGGTCTAGATAAATATGGAAGGGAAGTGACTCAGAGTCGGAGCTGGATTATGGTGGGTCCGAACTCGATTCCTTGCTATGCAGTGGTCACTGTGCTAAACGCTTTTCATGCTTCATCTCACAGAATCTTCACAGCAACCCTCTGAAGGGGGCATCCCCATGTTCTAGATGGGCATAAGGAACTCACCCCAGGACCCACAACTGCTCATGGTAGAGGTGAGATGCAAGACCACTCCCCGACTCCAGAGCCCAACTCATAACCACTATTCTGCAAATATTCATTAAACACATGAGAGAGCCCTTCTGGGCCGTGTTACCGATATTTAAATATCCATGTCATAACAACTGTTTTGTTTTGTACGTTGTACATATCTGAGAGCCCTTATCAGGAATGCTTATCCTATCACTTGAATCACAGAAAGGAAGAAAAAGGGAAGGGAGAGGGAGACAGCATTAATTTGGTAAAGGAACATCAGATAAAAAGCTTTGCTATGTGACAGCAACCTGATATTTCAAAGTGATTTCTTTGCATAAGCTCCACATATGAAAACAAAAGTGCCATATCATACCTGAAAGCGTTAATCTACCAAAACGTTAATCTACTTAACTCATCAAACAATAGCTCTGCTGTTCTCACAGCTCAAAGGAAGAAAAAGCATCTTACATATTTTTAGAAGCATTTTGGAGTCACAGTAACAACAGAGCTGAATGACTTGAACCAAGAATTATGTTACATCTAAAAGGTATAAAACTCACTATTTGCCAACATCTCTGCTATTTAAATACAGCCAGCCAGAAAGACAACTGCTGGTAAATAAACCATTCAGGGTTGAAACTCAATACCTGAGTTAATCATGAATATCAGTTGCTATTCTAATATAATATAAAATACAGTAATGAAATGCTTACAGGTGGACAAACCATGACTCCAGGTTGAAATGAGGTCTCTGCTTTTCACACAGTTCTTACATCCCCTCCCCCTCTGGTGGTTTCCCTTCCACTGCTGTTCAGGGCCTTATCAGCCTCCAGCAGCTTCTACTGCTAGCCTCATTCCCATCTTTAATGTGGCATAATCTGCATCTATTGTACAGAAAACAAATAACTAGTGGGAAATAAAAGCAACTGCTGACAGCCCGGAGCTGACCTGATGCTGGCAGGCCGACTGAGGCCAACATCAGACGAGGCGGCTCCATAACTGTGATGGCCCAAGACGGGGCGAGACCACTCCATAACCATGTCTGAGCACATACCAAGATAACAAGCACTGCATAAACCCACATGATCATCAATGTCCCCCTTTACTGGCTGAAGTGAAGGACATCTAGATGAAACTCCTTAAAATACTGAAACTTAAAATTATCCCCACCTCCTGAGAACATTCAATCCAGAGCCAACCCCTGCTTTCTTGACACTCCTCAAAGCACCTAACAGAAGCTCAGATCCTACAAAACAGCTCATCTTTTACCCCTTCTTGATTCACGGTAGTTCGCCACAGTGTGTGGTCTCCTCCCTGGGGTGAGTCAATAGCCTTTGTTCAATGTAGGTGGATTCCTATTGGTCCTTGCCAGAGGGCATCAACACTAGTTTTCTTGAATGAGTTCCCTTATTTTAACCCCCATTTTAAGGCAATGTTTTTTAGTGAGAGCCCAAGGGTGGACAGGCACATCTATAATGAGGTCAAGTCAATCTGCTTTTAACAAGTATTTTCTTTACTAAGAAGAGGTGTCTTTTGATATGTCTAGATTCAAAGCTACTTTGGATATCAGAACCCAAATAAGTGAAATATTACTAAAAATATAAATAATGGGATTTGTCAGCTCATGTCATCCTAAATAATAATATGCCTTGCATAGACTAGATATATTTAACTGGATACCTGTGTGGTGTGGTTCTCATGTATACAGTTCAAAATGTACATATATAAAAAACAATGACAAATAATTTTCTTGGCATTGTTTCTATTGTATACCCTGTGTACAATACCTTGTCACCTTTGATAGACAGGCCTTGTAATCCTTGTGGGCCAATTGGTCCGTCAGAACCTTTTTCACCCTGAAAGTACATAAGAGGGAGATCAATGCACAACAAATTGGGATTTTTGTTTTTTTGAGTTGGAGTCTCACTGTTGGTGCTCTTGGCCACCACAGCCTCGACCTGCTGGGCTCTGGCGATCCTTCCGCCTCAGCCTTCCGAGTAGCCGGAATTACAGGCATGTGCTACCACGCCTGGCTGATTTTTTAATTTATTGTAGAGATAAGGTCTCGCTGCCCAGGCGGATCTCGAACCCGCGGGCTCAGGCAATCCACTCACCTCAGCCTCCCAAAGGCGCGGAATTACAGGTTGAGCCACCGAGCCTGGCTACAAATTGGGATTTTAAAAGAGTTTACATTATAATTACTATGAATGTCTTAAATCAATCCTTCAAATTCACTGTACATTACAAATGGGTAATTTTAATGGACTTTAAGATTTGCAACTTGCAAAAAACTTAGTCATAACACCTAAGCAAGAAGGAGTCTATCTGAGCAGAACACATAGGTAACATCTCTAAAGGTGGAAAAGAGCTCAATTCCCAACCTAAACAGAAGTATTTGGAATGGAGTACCTAGCCAATCACATGGCACAGCTAGCTGAATCGAGCCTTCTTTTCCGTAATATTGCTGAGACTGGATCCATCGCCCAAGGTAACTTTCTCATACATGTGAACTCATACTTGCTAGGATTTGATTATCTATTAAATGCTTTGCATCCAAATTTATAAACATTCATTGACATCATCAACACTAGTTTTCTTAAATGGATTCCCTTATATTAACCTCATTTAAGGTTATTGTTTTGAGTGAGAGGGTAAGGATAGATATGTACTTCTGTAACAGGGTCAAGTCAATGTGTTCCCAACTGTTTTTTTTTTTATAAGGTCTGGATTCAAAGCTGTTTTGCTGGTGGTAAAGGTCACTGGATGCCAGAATTTAAGTTTAAAAGAATTCACGGGAAATCTTCTAGGATCTGTCTCTCTGGTCATGTGACCAATGTGAATGACTGGTCTTAATATGTCAATGAAGTCATAAACTTCATGCATTTGTATGAAAAATAAACCTGTAGTTAATCAGAAATGGCACCATTTAGTGAATTTATTAGAACCAAAAGCAAAGTCAAGAATATTTGCAAATAAGCCTCAAGTAGCACATACAGAACATAACCATTCATCTGACTGGTTCGGGACTGAAGGATCCTGACAAATGGGTTCTTCTGATCATTACCACAGAGTATAATCACATATACTTGACCCTAAAACAGCACAGAACATGATATGTTTTTTCTTTGATTAGACAGAGTTTAATGCAGTGCCCTTGGGACTCACATACAGAGTGTATCATTATATCACACTTTATATCATATAACATAAAAGTATGTTGAACCTGTCACTAGGACACGTCCTGAAATAGCCTTCTTAGTGCTTCTCATATTCATTTCTCATTTTAATCTTTAAAAAAACACAAATTATAGGATACTCAATCTCAAACCAGGCAAAGTGGGGCCAAATGGAGGCTCAAACTTTACCTGTACGATGACCACATGTGTACCTAATCCTGAACTGTACCCCACATCTTTAAAATAAAATTTAAAAAGAAAAAAATACACAGATTATACATAGAAATAATATTGACTACTTGAACTTTCCAAATTATCTGGACTACATATAAATAGAAATGTACTATGTGCCAAAAAAATTTCTAAAAATGATGAATTATGAACTTTCTGTGATATAGTGCCAAATCGCTGATCTCTGTCTTTGGCAGCAGTATTTGGGTTAGTCAAGAACATTAGTAATACCTCTTTATCCAACATATTATTTTCATTATTATGACTAATTAAAATGTATTAGTGAATAAGGGCCTCTTTTAAAATTCAACTCAGCAGTCACCCACAACTTAGTAGCAATTATTTGCTTTAGCTAATTGCTTTCCATCAAGTTGAGATACAGGTTTCTCAAAGGTAACTGAATATCGATCATGGTGGGAGAGGCTAAGAAAGACATATACTTTTAGAGCGTAAGATCTGAGAAGGTCAGATTTTAGTGACCTGATGGAATGACTGTCTTAGACATTTAGCAGCATGTGGTTTTCTGGGTAGTGCATATGTGTGCATACGTGTGTGTTTAGGAGAAAGACTTTGAAAATAATGGAAGGAGAACTCCAAAATGTATCTTTACTTATTCTGAAATTTTGTTGATGCTGTCCAAGGTATTTTGAAAAGTCATTTCCTAAGTGACCTTTGGCAAATATGCCAAAGATTATGGGTAAACTGCCTAGATCAATGGCCAGCAAACTGCAGCCCATTGGCCAAATCTAGCTCACCGCCTGGCTTCTATAAACACACTTTTGTTGGACCAGGCACACTCATTCATTTATACATTGTTGTGGCTGCTTTCAAGCTACAACAACAGCATTAGCAGCTGCAAGAGATACCATATGGCTCGCAAAGTCTAAAATACTTGCTGTCTGCCAATCCCAGGCACAGAACAACTTGAGTTCCAAGAATTACATGTGGAAGCAGTAGGAAAATGTAAGTTCTCAATTGCCAGGGAAAGGTGGGTCTTTCATAATATTTTGCTCCTTGTGGTAAAATTTCCTTTCTTATTATACTGATGGCAATACTCTAACAGATTGATTGGTTTCTTATCTGTGTTCCACAAAAAAAAAAAAAGCTGAGAGCAAATATACTCAGTGACTTAATTTCTGGACACGAAGATGCTATTTATCACAGTGGCTTTAATGGCAACAAACTACTTCAAGAGATTTTTCTAATTTCACGTGTAATAATTACACGAAGTCAGTCAATTATTTATAATTGCAAATTCACTGTACTTTCATGTTAAGAGGAAATGTAAATATGCTTTCATTTTATAGAATGAAGATGATCAAAAAAATACTTGACTTCTAATAATTGACTAGGATACATTTTTTTTTTTAATTTGTAATTCATGACCATGCAAGACAAAGCACTTTTTCCTAGTACAGAAGGTATTGTCACCTTTGGTCCTGGAAATCCTTCTCCTGGTAAGCCCCTCTCTCCTGGTGCTCCTTCGGGACCACGGGGACCCTAGTTAGGACAGGAGGACAGGAGGAGCAGGAGGAGAGGAGGAGAGAGAGAGAAGTGGGGAGGAAAGAAAGAAGGGAAGAGGAGAGGAGGGGGGAGGGGAGAAAGGAGGGGGGAGGAGAGAGGAGAGAAGGGAAGTGGCAGAAAGAAAGAGAATGGTTATATTTCAGTTCACATAGACCAAAAGATGGATGGTTGTGTTTGCAATGAACATGCACAAAGTTTTTTCCTGTTCTTAGTCCCTAAATTATACAGTGTAACAAGTACTTGCATAGCATTTACATTATATTATGTATTATAAGTGACCTAGGGATGATTTAAATAAAGCACACGGGAGGAGTGCATAGGTTACATACAGTTACTAGGTCATGTTATATAAAAGGCTTGAGAACCTATAAATTTTTATATCTGAGAACAAATCTCCTATGAATATAAGGGATGCCTAGATTTCTTTTTGAGTTTTTAGTGAGAATCCTTCTAGTAAGCTCCATACTGATGAGTAGACTTGTAGCGTTGTGAAGACTAACATTCTCGTCGTGTTGAATACTGGTTTCATTTGATTGGTATAAGATGTTCTTCTGTTCTTGTGCTCTCAAATTAGAGAAATATGGAAATCAAGCGATGCTTCTGAGTAGGGATTAGGAAATAAATGCTATGAGGAAAGACTAAAACTCTTGGACTGCGAGGGCTGGAGAAGGGTGCAAAGTGCTCTGATTAATTCAGTATCAAAGGACCCCCATGAGGAAATCACCATACAGTTGTTTGAAAGCACTAAATGCTGCTTACATGTGTTTTAATTTCTGCCCTGATACATTTGGATTAAAACTTGAATTATTTCAGGAACTGGTTGAACCCACTGGCAGTTTTATGTGCAAATTGAAATCTTGATAGGGTCATTAAGTGAAAACATGGTTTCCAGTTGCAATAATTAAAAATAAGAAGTTGGCCAGACCTGGTGTAGTGGCTGATGCCTGTAATCCCAGCACTTTGGGAGGCTGAAGCAAGTGGATTGCCTGAGCCCTCAGGTTCGAGACCAGCCCAGGCAGCTTGGCGAGACCTTGTCTCTACAATAAATAAAAAATTAACTGGGCACGGTAGCACATGCCTGTAGTTTCAGCTATTTGGAAGGCTGAGGTAGAAGGATCGCCGAACCCCAGCACGTCGATGCAGGGGTGGCTGTGACCATGCCACTGCACTCCAGCCTGGGTGATGGAGTGAGACTCCAACATAAAAAAAAAAAAAATTAACCACACCTGGTGGTGTGTGCCTGCAGTCCTAGCTACTCGGGAGGCTGAGACTAGAGGATCACGTTCCTAGACCACTTATGTACCCCACATCTTTAAAATAAAAATAAAACAGTAATTTTAAAAAGAGGATCACTTGGGCCCAGGAGTCCAACACGGTGTGAGCTGTGACCATGCCACTGCCCTCCTGCCTGGGCATCAGAGTGAAACCTTGTCTCAAAATAAATAAAACAAAGAAGTTCATGTAACTATTGCTCAGAAAGGCACAAGGAGAGGACTTCTCATCAAGGCTCAGCAAAACAACACAGTCTCAGGCATTGACATGGACTGGCAGAAAATGTACTAATGGAAAAAACAAACAGCAGCAATAGCAAGGTTTTCATTTCAGCAAGACATTTTAAGAGGCAACTATTTTTTTCTCTTCTTCTTGGCCAGAAGGCAAAACGGTCCAAAGGGTACTTACAACAAGAATCTTAGAAGAATAAACAGGAACTTTTTCCCAATAGACTAAACAGAGGGTTAGGGATTCACTTGCTAAGAAAGTCAACCTGTGAGGAATGAAGTCTACCGGTTTCCCATGAATGAGTTCCTGAGCCCGGTCACTGCACTCACTGAATAGTCTTGGGCTTGAGGTTCAAGGGTTCAGGATGACTTAAAAGATGCTTTCTGCTCAAGTCTGGGGAAAGAATTAGAATGCAGAACTATGCTCATCCATGAATGATCGGTTATCGATTCATGGGAAAGAGACTGAAGCATATGCCAGTGTTCAATTTTTTTTCTTTTGCCTTTCTCTAATTTTGTATAATTGAAAAGACAGTCTTCTTTGGTATTTATGCATAACCGATTTAGCCAAGACTTTACTTAAAAGAAAAAGCTGACATCTAATTTAATTTGAATTGCAATGCTTTTTTGAAACCTAGCTTTTAACATGCCAAACTCTTCATCAAAACACTAATATCCATCGGGCGCAGTGGCTCATGCCTGTAATCCCAGCACTTTGAGAGACTGAGGAGGGAGGATCGCTCGAGGCCAGGAGTTTGAGACCAGCCTGGGCAACAAAATGAGACTTTATCTCTATTATAAAATAAAAAAAATAACACCAAGCCCGGTGGCTCACCGAGCACTGTGGCTCACACCTGTAATCCCAGCACTTTGTTGGGGGTAGAGGCAAAAGGATTGCCTGAGACTAGATGGGGCAACTTGTCAAGACCTCATCCCTACAATAAATTTAAAAATTAGCCAGGCATGGTGGCATGTCTGTAGTTCCAGCCACTTGGAAGTCTGAGGCAGAAGGATCCCTGAGCCCAGCAGTTTGAGGCTACAGTGGCCATGATAGTGGCCATGTACTCTAGCCTGGACCACAGAGTGAGACTCTGATATAAACTTTTTTTAAATAATAAAATAATAAAAAATAAAAACATTAAAATCCGTGACAGCTTACTCTAATGGCAGAGCAATTAGCTAAGGGAAAAATAAATATAAGCATGAAAACTAGATTGCAAACTAAACTGAAAAGTGTCAGGCTAACATCACATTCCTTAACAAAGAAAATATTGATAAATTATTTTTCTTCCCTAATGAGATGATGAATGAAAAAATACAATTTACATGAAATGTAAGGACATCTTTTCCAATTCACTCAATTTTTTTTTTCCATTCATTCAGCAAATATTTACCAAATGCCTAGTAGGTGGCAGGCATTGTGCCGGGCTCTAGGAACTGCAGAGAGAATGGCTGTCTCATGGAGCTTACAGTATTGGGTGGCAGTTAAAAGCAGATTTTGGTGTCATTTGCACTGAGGTCTAAGTCCTGGTTCTGCTACATATTAGCAGTTTAACCTTAAGTACTTCCATCCCTCTAAGGCTCAGCAAACTCCTCAGAATGGTGGTCATAACAGTTTCCACCTCAACCACAAATGTCAGTGTCAGGATTACATCAGAAAGACTGAAAGCTCTTATTAGTCATTCAACATATATCTGCTATTAGTATCCAAATTCTTTTACCTGAGTCCTGTAGCTAAGAATATCCCTTTAAGCTAAACTAAGGATCTTGCAAGATGTAGAGAATGTTATAATGGACACTGGAGACTCAGAAGTGGGGCATTTAAGAGATGGAAGAATAAAAAAAAATCACATATCAGGTACAATGTGCACAGGTGTGGGGGTGGTGGTTATACTTGAAGCCCAGACCAAAAACGATTTGTACCTCCCCCAAAGCCACTGAAACAAATAAATGAACGAATAAATAAATAAATGTCCTTTTATGGAAGTGTTTACAAATAAAGGCAGACTCAGAATGAATAGTTTAAATTAAACATTTTAATTTAAACAGTGTGTAAGAGATATGCTGCAGGGAATAAACACTGAGCCTTTCCGCCCTGTCTACTCTTCTAGAGAATGTCAGCTTTGGTGAAGGTGAGGATACTAGAGGTTTAAGGAGTCATATATTCAAAGCTGCTGAGAACAGAGAGTTGGTACTATGAACAATCTCTTAGGGCAGCAGTCCCCAACCTTTTCGGTATCAGGGACTAGTTTCACAGATAAGGGGTGGGGGAGCCAAGGAATGTGCAGTCAAACCTCACTGTTCATGTTAATCTGTATTCATGGCCACTCCCCAGTGTTACTATCACCACCTCAGCTCCACCTCAGATCCTCAGGCATTAAATTCTTATAAGGAACATGGAACCTAGAACCCTCACATGCACAATTCACAATAGGGCCAAGCACCTATGAAAATCTGATGCCGGGGCTGATCTGACAGAACACGGAGCTCAGGCCAATAATGTGAGCAATGGGGAGCAACTGTAAACACAGTGAAGCTTTGCTCACTTGTCTGCCGCTCACCTCCTGCTATGAGGCCCAGTTTCTAACATGCTGGTCCAGGGATTGGGTACCCCAACTTAGGGAACTTAAAAACCAGTGATCCAAGGTATGATTACTATAACCCATCAGAGTAATATTCCACACCATCAGTGTATTCTCAGACTTTCCAGTTAAACCCTCAGAGTGGAAGACAATCTTTAACCAGAGAAAAGAAGTAAAAGGCATTTGGGTTAAATGAGCTATTCTCTTAATTTATTAAGATAGTACCAAAGGGTTATTTTTAAAAGACAGAAATGCTTCCATAAAAAAACTCAGTGTCCCTTCAAAGGCCAAGAGAATCAATTACAACCATGATACACTTACTTGACTTTTAATGAACACCTCTAAAAAAAAAATGAAAGAATTTAATTATCAGCTAATATGGTTTGATCAGTGAAATGCTTTGTTTGAGACATCAACGAGATAAAATATGATTGTTCATTATCTTATTACTTTTCTTAATAATCTCAATGGTGTTAATAATCAATAAAAATGCTTTCAATATACATTACAAGCAATAAAGATAAATATGCTAATAATAATAAAAATTGTCCATTATCTTCAAACAGTGTCATCTACTTAATTTTTTTAACCTCTAAATAATTAGAGTTCTCCTTCAAAAGTGTGTTGTTTTTACTTCCAGTGCTCTGAATAACCTTACACTAAAAACAAACAGACCACTCTGACAGGCTTAACCAATATTTTTTATGAACCAGTTATATCTACCAGACCAACACAAAACTAGTGGTAATCACATAAAGATGACAGCTGACAGTTCAAAGGTAGGCCTTGGCGCTAGTACATTAATTCAATTTACCAGCAGACTTACCTGAGTGTGGTAGTGAAAAGAGAGTCGTGCTAAACCTGAAACCATTGGAAATGATTCAGGCAAAGAAACAAAACAAAGGACTTTCAGTAGAACCTTTGTGGGTTCTAAGGTTAGTCTTTATGTTACTTTCAAATGATTCAAAAATGTACATTGTTGACCTTTTATAATGACATCTTGGCACAAGTTTTAAACATTATTTATTTCCTTCCCACCTTCCTTATGATTTCAGTTTCCAAGTAAATCACAAAACTCTGCAGTGAAACTCTGTATAATTGTGACTTGGAAAGTAAGCCAAAAAAAAAAAAAAAGAATTTCGTGTTCTGGCAATATTGTTAAAACTCTCAAGCTACAAACATAAAGACAAGTAATATAAACCTTTCTTTAAAATGAATTTTAAAGGAATAGCAGAGTCCAAAGACAAGAGAAATCATGAGGGTCAAAAAGAGAGCGCTGAAAACTCAAGTGGTAAGCATCTAAGCTAGTGCTATAGGCAGCCTGGGTAGAAAAGTGTGTGTGTGCTGGAAGAAGTTCAGGAAATTTCAGCAAGAAACAGCAGCAAAAGACTGGCTCAGTTAATGGGAAATGAGGAGAGAATTAGACATTCCCCTGCAAAGCTAGACCTTCGAAGTTATACAGACAATCCCCAACTCAAGATGGGATAGTTTGACTTACTATGTGTTGGCTTACAGGTTTTTTGGGTCATGTTCCCATGGGTTGCTCCTTAAGACTTAGCATGAGATTATGATTTCTACTGAGTGTGCATCACCTTCTCACTGTCACAAAGTCAAAACATTGTACATCAAACCATTGTTAAGTAGGACCCATCATCTGTGTTGCCAGCATTCAATGCATTTCCAACTCAAAATATTTTCAATTTATGATGGGTTCATCAGGATGTAACCACACTGTAAGGCAGGGAGCATCTGCGTATGTTTGATGAAAGGACAGAGTAGAAAAAAGTCATCCCATCACACAATGATATGAATGACAAGAATCTTGTCTGCTTGACTTAGGCACTAAATGACTGATAATTTCTGTGCTGTGTATGGGTTTGTGGCTTCTACTGGCGTCATTGAGGTGGTTCCTGAACACCTTAGTCAAGTTATTTGCATCAAGGAAGCCCCTGGACTACATAAGAAATGCAAACACCAACTTCTCTCAAGCACCCTCCACACAGAATGCTTGGGATTTTCACAATTAAAGCCCTGCTGAAAATAAGTTCACAATAAATAAAACAATGTAACACAAAGTAAATTTCCCCAAGAATGTCAAATAATAGACTAGAATAATAGAGACACAAAAAGAAGTATACTTTAAATGCTTAATGGTCTTAAGGGAAGATTGAAAAATACAAGTAAAGAGGACAGTATAGTAAAAAGATAGTAATTGCAGTGAAAAACTAGCCATATCTTTTTAAAATAACCTTAGAAATTTTAAAAATAGATTAAAAATACAATGGGTGAGTTAAGAATATTTTATAACCTCATGAAGATAAATGTGTGGATTATATCTACACAGATATACAAATATATAGACATATTTTGATATATCATGTGACCTTTCTTCTTTTATCTATTAATATGGTGCATTCCATTGACTGATTTTCAATTCTTAAACCATCCTTGCATCCTTGGAATAAACCTCACTTGTTCATGCTGTATATCTCTTTTTATATATTGTTGCATTCTATTTGCCAATGTTTTACTAAGGATTTTTGTGTCTATATTGATGATGATATTGGTCTGTAGTTTTCTTCTTATGTATTGTTACTGTTCTGTTCTGGTATCAGGGAAAAACTGGCCTCATAATATAAGTTGGTAAGTTCTTTCCTCTCCTGTTTTCTGAAAAAGATTATGGAAGCTTTACTGTATCCATAACGTTTTATGTTTTTTAAAGAAAATCTAAAGCAAGAGTTGCAAACTTTACCAAGATTTGTCCACTGGTACAGGTTTACTAAATCATTCTCCATATTTTTCAGTATGTTTCAAATATTTTATAATTTAAAAATAAAAGCATTTTAAGAACCACTATGACAAAGTGAAACTCATTCTTAAGTTTATTGCTGAATTTAGAAGGTGTAAATAATAGCAAAGCACAAAGTTTTTGGGCAAAACACCCATCAAATTATATTTAAAAATATAATACTGCAACTTGTTTGGGGGATATTTTTAGAAATTTGGTAGTTTTCCAGTTCTGAAAATCATAGCTCTAGGAAGAATTCCATCTTTTAATTTGACAGACATCAAAATTTTAGACAACACTGAAATAAACATGCCAACAAGGTCTTTGATATTTGTCATAGAGAGGTGAAATCTTTTTCTGCTTCACTCAGATCTGAGCTGGTCCTATGCTTATTTCAGCCAACAGTAATACAGAAATGATGCTGTATAATCTCTGAGGCCAAGCCTTCCATGATGATTGGTTTCTGCCTAGTGGGACACTCCTGCTTGGATTCAAGTTGCCAAGTTGTGAGGAAACCCAAGCAACCACATGTAGCCACCCATGTGGAGAAAACCAAGATTCTCAGGGCAGCAACTGCAGCTAAGCTCACAGCTACAACCGGCATGAAGCTGCCAGCCATGTGAGGCCCTTTTTAAATATTCTATCCACTTTAATACTCCAACTGACTTCACATTATACAGCAGGGGTCCCTAACCCCTGGGCAACAGACCTGAACCAGCCTATGACCTGTTAGGAACCAATCACACAGCAGGAGGTGAGCAGCAGGCAAGAAAGTGAAGCTTCATTTGTATTTACAACTGCTCCCCATCCACTTGCATTACTGCCTGAGCTCCTGTCATATCAGCAGTGGCATTAGATGTTCATAGGAGCATAAACCCTATTGTGAGCTGCATATGTGAGGGATCTAGGTTGCTAGTTCCTTATGCAAATCTGGTGCCTGATGATCTGAGGTGGAGCTGAGGCAGTGATGTTAGTGCTGGGGAGCTGCAAATACAGATTAACATGAGCAGTGAGGCTGGACTGCACAGAGGCCATCATAAATCAATTGCTTGTAGATTCATCTCAAAACCCTATCTGTGCGTAGCCAGTGAGCCAACGTACTTCAATTGTACAGCTGCATCTGGTGGCAGGCTTTAGATCAGAATTCAACACTTGTTTTAGTCTGTACATGGCCCATCCATTAATATTATTTTTGTATGGAGAGTTGTATAATTATTTCATTATATATTACAATGTAATAATACTATAAAATAGTGCACAATAAGTGTAATACCCTTCAATCATCTCAAAACCATCCCACCCCACACCCCACCCCAGTCCGTGGAAAAAAAATTTTCCAGGAAACTGGATCCTAATGCCAAAAAGGTTGGAGACTGTTGCTATACAGAACTCTCCCATCAGTCCACGAAATCATGAGAAATAACAAATTATTTTTTTAAGGCACTAAGTCTTGAGATAGTTTGGTATGTAGAAACACACAACCAACATAGATACTTAAAGAAGTTAGTGTTTTACTTTTAATGGTACTATCTAGTTGGTGGAAATTGAGACTGGGTCACTGACCTCCAGATAATTGGTCCAGTGCACTTTATATGATTTTTTGAGACACCCGTGAAAAGTCCTCACACAACATGTTGCCATTTCACTCAGAGCACTATAGGAAATTGCGTGTTTCTGTTAACTTACACACATGAAGAACTGAGCTGTGGAAGGCCACATTGGGAGACCAACAAGTCACAATTAGTTGCTTTTATTTGGACCTCAGTGAGTCAGCTACTGTTTATTCCTAGGAGAACCATGGTTACTTGGAAAGTTTAGAAGCTTCTTATACCAGAATAATCATGTTTCCTTCACTTCCTCTCCAGATGTCTTTTGATGGAAATATTTTTTCTTCTCCAACAGCAGGAAACCTCAAAGCTACATAAGGTGGAGCCGTGAACAATACAGGTATCAATCCTTGCACTAGAGCACGCCCGTGGGTTAGATCATGAGCGAGGGCCCTATTCTCAGTGACTTCCTCTGGTTACAGGAAAGTCAGTTACAAAGCATGGACATTAGGTCTGTATTCAGATCTCTCATCTCCTAGGAAATTTTGACACATGAGAACTCTTTCTTCTTGAACAGGTTAATTAATCTTGTAGGAAGTTACAGTAAGAGAGAGCCAGTTGTAACCATGTACGTATATACATATATGTAATACCATGTATATTTTAGCCCTATTTCAAATGTGAAAACTAACACTTAGATCTTGTCTGTGCATATTTACTGTCACTTGTTGTTCATAAAGTTACATGGAGGATTCCTTTGTCCATTTATTCTAACCAGAAAGAACAAATTAAGAACTCTATGTGCGTTCTTGTTCTGTCTGGCATTTTTGCTACTTACTGGTTGTCCAGGCTCACCAATTCCAATTGGTCCTGGAGCACCTAGTCGTCCTTCTTGGCCTCTTTCTCCCTAAAAGAAAGAAATGCAGAATGAAAGTTTGAGTTTTTAAATAAAGCATAAACACAGCACAACATTCCCTGGTGATATCAACAAGGATAAGTAGCAAAACAGTAAATTTTTCATATTCAGAAAGATGTTTTTTAAATTCCAGAGGAGAAATTGCTTGAATCTAAGTGAACAAATTGTCCTAAAATGTCCATCATTCCTTCTTGTCTAAACACAAGGCAACACTTTCAGCTTCCACACACTGCCATGTAAGAGTCTGAAGAAAGGACAGTGCGGCAGTTGATTTTGGTTGCTGAGACGACCAAGCCAACAAGGCGTGTGCTGTGCCCTCTCCCCCACACCCTCCACCACCATCCAGGAATGTTTTCCCTTTCCTGTCCCCACCCTGCCCCACTTCATCTCTTCCTTAAGCTCTGTTTCCCAACTGATCTGCGCAGAACCCTACTCTAGTAACTCTGCTAATAAAAACTCCACCACCCTGGACTCTCCTGTGCTCATTGCTGAGATACTGTATGTACACACAGATACTCGAAGACATTAAAGACTCTTTGAGCCGGGCTCGGTGGCTCAGCCTGTAATCCCGCGCTTTGGGAGGTTGAGGTGAGTGAATTGCCTGAGCCCGCGGGTTTAAGACCCGCCTGGGCAACTTGGCGAGACCTCATCTCTACAATAAATAAAAAAATTAGCTAGGCATGGCAGCGAGCACCTGTAGTTCCAGCTACTTGAACGGCTAAGGCGGGAGGATCGCGGGAGCCCAGCAGGTCGAGGCTGTGGTGGCCGGGAGCGGCCACTGCACTCCAGTCTGGGTGACAGAGTGAGACTCCAACTCAATTTAAAAAAAAGACTCTTCAGTCCTGCTCTCTGTCTCAGTCACACAGAAAAGTCACTCAGGGCAAGCACTCCTGCCTCACTGTCCCCTGCACGATGCTGAGCACCCCTAGATGGACGCTCATCTCTTTCTAGTTCTCTATACACCTCCTTGCCAATACTTCCTTATTCAGTGCCATGCCCTGCCTGACTTCTGCCCCCTCTGCTTATGTAATATGAGTGTTAATCGTTGACGTGTTAAGTGTTTCACTTCCCAATAACATCATGTGTGAAGGTTTAAAGTCCATGGAAATTCAACAGAACTACCTAGACCTTGGCAAGAGGGTGGATATTTGGAGAGAAGCAACTTTTTCATTCCAACCAAATCAAAATTTACATTGATTATACTCGTGGTAACTGCCCCTGACCAGGGCATGGCAGTATCCAGGCATCTGAAATGTAACTTCTACAGGAAGTCCCCTGTGTCTACTGAGCAGAATTCTAATCACAGCGCCTCCAGGCCTTAAAATACATTCAACAGTCATCAGTGGGCAAAGAGACAAGTAAAGTTACCTTAATGCCTTGCTGTCCAATTCCAGGAGCTCCCGGGGGACCATAAGGACCAGGAGGACCCGGCTCGCCCTAGGGGAGGAAACAGTGGTCAACAAGGTAGGTCAACTCAATGGTGGTTAGCGAGCAGCTCTCAGATGCATAATGTTGCAATAGAAGCTTTGAGGGCAGTAGCAAAACCTAGTACATAGTACCTGCCCTCAGGTGTTTACAATCTGTTTGGAAAGATAACACAGACCCAAGGTTGAATTATCCACTGGGCATAGTAGTCACAATATCTAGGGCCACGATACCTTTAGGAGCCCACAAACATGTTTCATTAATTTTTTTAAATCAGACTTTAAAATAACATAATAGTAAATGACACTATAACAATGATCCAGCCAGGATTCCTAAAACATGACTTTTAATATTTTTTGTGGAAGAAGGAGCCCACAAAGGCAAAAGTTTTTAAGATCCATAAAAGTCATAATGCCGCTCCCATTCATTCACAATTTTTTTTTAAATGAAGGCAGGATCTCTCTGTGTTGCCCAGGCTGATTTTGAATTCCAGGCCTCAAGTGATCCTCCTGCCTTGGCCTCCCAAAATGCTGAAATTACAGGGATGAACCACCACACCCGGCCTCACAATTTTTTCTTAAGTGCCCTGGCAGACGTATTTTGTTTCCTACTCAATGGCATCCTCTCCCTGCTTTATTTCCCTGCTGTTGAAACCCTGGTCTGTGCAGGTCAGTGGGCAGCTGTCCTTTGCCCTCAGAGGTGCAGGATGAACATAGTTGGTCTTGTGCAAGATTGAATTCCCCTTCCTTCTGTCACTGATTTGTATAAATTGGCCACATGGCTTGATTCTGACAAATGAGATAGAGGGAACTTGCTGGATACAAGGCTGCTAGATACGCTCTCTGGGCTGCTGACCCAGTCCTGGGCTACCTACTTCACACATCCTGTGCTTCTGACCTATGCCACTTGTTGCCGAGATCTCTGTTACTTGAAGTCAGAGCATTTTCAATTAATACAGCCTATGACGTGGCCGGTCCTGACAAGAACGGGGCAAGACCATCATGCTCACACCCCAACATTTCACATGTGAGGAACTGAAGTCCCAGAAAGGTTACCTGACCTGAAAGTCATGCTCAAGGTCACTCAACTATGGCTCTTTGGGTCTCTTGGGCCTTGTGGTGTGACAACCAAGGAAGGAGAGTGGCTTTTTATTTCAATTTTTTAAAATAACGTTAATTTCTTCTATTTATCAAAAGAATGTATGTTCATTGTAGAATATTTGTCATTTACTGAAAGGCATATGTGGGGGCCATAGCCATTGGCCCCTCAAGATTCACTGAAAAATCACTGGCATGAAACAGATTGATGAATAGGAGAAAAGGCAGACAGATGTATTAAGCCAGCCATGGTGGCTCACCCCTGTAATCCCAGCACTTTGGGACGCTGAGGCAGGAGGATTGCTTGAGCCCAGGAGTTCTAGACCAGCTTGGGCAATATAGAAAGGGTTCATCTCTACAAAAAGTAATAATAATAAAATTATATTTTTAAAAAAGATGTATTTAACATATATACACAAGGGTGTTCAGCATGAAAACCCACTTCCCAATGAGTTATAGAAACTTAAATACCATCTGGAGGTTACAGAAAGAAGGGACAAGGTCTCGCATTCTGGTAAAGCAGGTGATGGGCAGGGGAAGAAGAGAATTCTATTGAGGGGTGACATGATCGGGAGAATGAACGGAGGAAGAAATAAGAATAACTTGCAGATGGTTCTCCTTGGAAGCCGAATGAACCCAAGAGACAGGCATTATTTTGTAAAATGGTTCTTCCTCCCTTTTGCTGCAGTAGATAATTTTAACATGGAAAAGCAGCAGCTTGGGAGAAACCTTTAAGCAAAATGCTACATTTTGGGATGAATCTCCCTGCACTCCTTCACATACATACACAAAGATTTACATTATCTTCTGCAACTAATATTAATTTAGGGTGTGTTTCCTTCCATTCTTTTATATTCACACACATACTTTGAATTTTTGCTAAGGAAGATTTCTGAATACTTTTGTATCTGAATTAACAAATACTTATTTGTTATTTTTCTTATTTAAAATTCTTTTTCTTATTTAAAATTCTTTTTCTTATTTAAAATTTCATTCAACTTCAGTGAGATGAAGTTGAGATCTCTCACTTCATGCTGCACTAACCAACAGTAAAAGGAAATGGTCAAATGAGACAAACCTTCTCTCAGATTAGGGGAAATAAAGGAATTTCCACTCATATTAAAGTCTCAATTTGCCCCAGAGGCTGTGATCTTTGAGGTGACACTTGGTAACCAGAGCAATGTTCTGCTGATATGGCAGAGACATAGCTTTAAACAGACCTGTTGGCATTGACCAATCACAAAGAGGAAAGAGAAGGGTCAGAGTCTAACGTGCTCCTCAAAAGACATGCCCAGGCTCAAGATGGGCATTAAAACAAAGGAAACCTACGCAGCCATTAAAAAAGAATGAAATCATATCCTTTGCAGCAACATGGACGGAGCTGGAGACCATTCCTAATTGAACTGACTTAGCAACAAAAGACCCAACACCACATGTTCTCACTCATAAGTGGAAGCGAAATGGTCACAAAGATGGAAGTAGATCCTGGGGACACTGAAAGGGGAGAGGAGGGGAGGTAGATAGGGTTCAGAAGTTACCTGTTGGGTACAACATTCACTATCTAGGGACTGTTTACCTGAAACCCAGCCTCCACCAGTACACAACTTATCCATTTAATAAACATACATTTGTACCCCCTGAATTTAAAATAAAAATTTAAAAAACAAAGGAAGTCCACCTCAAAATCCATTGTCAGAGCTTATGATCTTTTGATATTTAAGTAAACTGAATTCAAAAGCACCTACTGTTTATCCTTGTTGAGATAAGTTAACCTGACACATAAACCAACTTAAGTTTTTCCCTTTAAAAGTCCAGAGTTGGGTCAGGCGCGGTGGCTCATGCCTGTAATCCCAGCACTTTGGGAGGCAGAGGTGAGAGGACTGCCTGAGTCCAGGGGTTCAAGTCCAGCCTGGGTAACTTGGCAAGACCTCATCTCTACAATAATCAAAAAAATTAGCTGGACATGGTGGTGCTCACCTGTGGTACCAGCTACTTGGAAGGCTGAGGTGGAAGGATCACCACCTGAGCCCAGCAGGCTGAGGCCACAGTGGCCATGAGCATGCCACTGCACTCTAGCCTGGGCAACAGAGTGAGACTCCTACTCAAAAAATAAAATAAAATAAAATTCTAGGGTTGTACTTATTTTTCTGCATAGATTAAATTTTCTGCAGTAACCAAGTGACTGTCATTCTTATTTTATATGTTCTTGGCCGTGGAGTTTTTCTCTCTCCTTATAATATCAGACATAGACATTCTCACTAAACTTGAAGTTGTTTTCTTAATCTCAAAATTTAGTTAAGTGCTCGAAAATATTCAGCTGCCCACGGATTCCAAATTTTCACTTCAAAAAACCTTTTTCTTATAATTTCTTGTGCTCTCCACTCAAGTTTGAAACTCCTTGTCAGTTATGCAAGTCGCACACGGGTGACTGACAGCCTCTGTCACTCAGCAAATGACACCAAGTACTCACTTTGTGGAGGGCTGAGCAGAATACAGGGAAGGTCAAGACATAGTCCCTGCACTTAAGGGACAAGTGTGAGAGAGAAAGCAAGACATCTCTTAAAAATATAATCATGATCATATAAGGCCCTAAGTTCATTTATTCTGTTGATTTTCTGTCCCTGTACATGTCACTTTGGCTCTGTGATGGACCAGAAGACATTTAACTTGTACATCTGGTGGGAAACTTGAGGGTGTTTCGAGTAGTAGATGTTTTTCCCTACTTAGTACTCACCTGACATTTGATCAGAAATGAACCAAGGACACAGGTGATAAGGAATGGTTTGTCACCTTGAAACGTGGGAACTGAGAGGACCAAGAGAAGCAACTGTCTAGCCGTCAGCCTTGGCTAAGTCCCAAGGTCACCTGAGAGATTCTGGAACGCTACTTCTCCAAGGGAACCACGGGGCTCTGAAGTTTCAAGGGGATGGTTTTCCTCGCCTGAATGTGTCCCCTTAGCAGCACACCCCCGCACCCCCACATTTTGCTGACTTGCATTTACTTCTTAGGAGCCCAGCATCTCAGGAACAGCTTTTCCTCTTTTCCTTCCTGTTTCCTAGAGATTTCCGGGGAGAGAGGGGGGAGGAGGAAGGGGTCCTGAGTGTGAAACCCCATATAAGACACACTCTAGTCAGAACGATTTTCTGGGAATTTGCCGAGACAATATAGCTTTGGTAAGACGCTTGATTCTTTTCTTAATATTCTTGCCCCAACCCTCACCAACACACACACACACACACACACACACACACACACACACACACACTACACACACACATACACACACTGCATACACATAGCACTACTCATTCTTTCTCTGCTTTTACTATCTTTAGCCATCAACTCCATTTACCAACAGGTGAGTTTCACAGAAAGGATTGAGTATGAACAGACAGCCCCGGAGGGACTCTGCATCTCGTGGCCCTCCACGTGAATGTGAGCACATGTGGAGCAGCAAGGAGGTCTTTCAGCCCACTGTGGGCCTCCTCAGAAGTCAGGAAGACCCGCACTTTGGTCCTCAAGAGCAGAGGAAGGTGCTAGTTAATACCATCTGTTGTTTACAAACACTGCTCTGACACTTTATGGACATTGCCTCATTTAATCTTCTAAAATCCTAAGAAATAGAATTTCTTTTTCCATTTTATGGTATGGAAATAAAGCCTCCATTTTGTCATCTATTTTTCAGCATGCATGGAATGATGGAGGGAAACAAGCCCTTGAAGACATTTGGTCTAGTGGAGTCCTGGCTCTATCATTCACTAACAATTTGAGCTTTTGCAAGATCTCTGTATGCAGAATGAAGAGCATGATATCTACCTCGCACCGTTGTTGAGAGGATTCAAGATATTGTCTGCAACACAGCTAAGTCACAGCCAGTCCACAGCAGCTGTTTCATATGCATAAATTCGAGGATTA